AATCTATGTCTCCACTCAGTTCAGGACTCATTCAGGAACCAGATTCAGCCCAGATGGGTAACAGTCACAGACTTCCCCAGCCTTCGCCTCACTGGAGGGTCTGGGCGAAGGCAAAGCACCGACTCGAATCCACAGGCCTTGCAGATCCTAGAGCACTTGCTCTCTCGGCTCAGGTTGTGTGGGGCTCAGAGAGTCTGTTCACCTGGCCCAGAGAGTCTGCTCACCCAGCCCCCAGCCAGAGAAATCCTTGGGACATATGTGTCAGACATCCTGTCTTCCATGGCAGCAACTCAGTCTGTCATGTTCACGGGGTCGTTGTTCAGGCCCTCTTCCCTCAGGGAGTAGATGGAAAATACCTGGCTCTCTCCATGCGTTTCAGCTGTGAACCGTGGTGGTGTGGGCCGAGCACAGACTCGAACCCTCGGGCCCTGCAGTTCCCAGAGCACTCCCCCTCTCAGCACAGCATGCAGGGGTGCTCAGAGAGTCTGCTTGCCCAGCCCCCAGCCAGAGAAATTCCCAGGACCTCCCAGTCCGGACCTACTCTCTGCTGTGGTAGTGACTCAATTTGTAATGTCCCTGGGGTCCTTGCTCACACCCTCTGCCCTGAGGGAGTAGATGGAAAAGAAAAATCTAAGGTCAGTTTTCATATACATGTTAGACATGCATGAAAATCAGTGTGTGCCCATCATTATTTGCCTGGTCTCCTTTCTATCCTTCAAATTTTCTCTTCAAGCAAAGATCCTTCCTGCACCTTAATTGGCTATGGAATAATTCTGCTATACCTTTCTGTTTAGTTTCTTTAAGTTGGTGACACAATTTCTAAATTGGGGATAATAATACAACATTCTGTAAATGTTAAACTGAAGTATAGTAGACTATATAATATCTATTCTAAAACAATGTACAGTAAAGTTATGTCATTATAAGAGGAATACAATAGAAGGTATAAATGCAAAAAGAAATTAAGGAAAATATAATCAGAGAATACCAGGTCAACAAAAACCCACTTTTTAATCGTTATTCTATATCTCTAATACATAACTTTTCAAACTTACAATTCCTCTAAAATCTTCAATGAGAAATTCTATAATTGATCATACATGAGACCTTTTATCTAGTGAAATATAATATTTCATACTCAGGTAAGTGTAGAGAAGTTTAAAAAATGAATAAAGTAAATGACTTAAGGGGGTGAAGATATTGTCCAACCTAAGCTAGTCTCTGTTCTGCCTTCATCATTTCTTTCATCACCTTTCCATTCCATGAGATAAAATCCTGCATTTATGGCTCCTATGTCTTCCTGAATAAGACTGAAAAATAAGAGAAGATTTTATGTTTGACATCACTGACAATCTCAGTGATAGAAGGGTGGGCTGGGATGAGTAAGTTGAA